AGAGAGAGAGAGAGAGAGAGAGAGAGAGAGAGAGAGAGAGAGAGAGAGAGAGAGAGAGAGAGAGAGAGAGAGAGAGAGAGAGAGAGAGGCTCAGCAGGGACAGAGCGGTAGAAGTGAGGAAAGAGAGGGAGAATCGTTCAGGGAGAGTGAGAGAGATAGGTTCACACCGAGAGGGGAAGTGGTCATTACTTACCTGATTGGTGTCGGGAGTGGTTGTGGCGCAGGCCGCCAGAGACGCAAACAATTCTTTGTATAATAATAATAATAATTTGATCGAAGATTCTGTTGTGCTGTACAAGTTTCCATCTCTCTGTTGCAAGTGTGAACTCTCACATGAATGTTCTGCTGCCCATGCATGTTTGATGTGTGTTGTGAGGGGAGGTTCATTGCATATTTAAATGACTTCAGACTCACAAGCCAAGCCTACAAAGACTGTTCAGCCACTGTTGCCTATCTGGCATTCCTTTCTTCCCCGCTCATAGAACAGATTGTATACTCGAATTGCCCGCTCCTCTGCTGGTGGAACTGTCAGCCTAACTTAACTTGTACCAGCAGGAGTCCAAGTGAGGCCTTACACGAAAGAACGGTCAGACTGGGCATTACCCCATCATCCCCTCAATGTTTCAAACAAGAGGTAAGTTCACATACATTCTTCTGAAGGGCCAGAGAAGACAAAAGCTCATACTTATTCTATTTTTCATTCCTCCCAACTGTTGCCATGCATGGCTAATAACGAGTTTCCCTCACACAGAGCCATGATACGGCATTGTACGGATGGTTATTGATCAGATAGTGGAACATGCGTATTCATTCAAGTGGAGATCAAGTACACAACAGAAGAACAGAGTTCGCAGTCAAACAGAAACTGTGGTGCCCACCGAAACCCCAGCTGCAGTACAGAGTCCGGTTTATAGATATCACATCGATTCACCCAAAGACCAGTGGTACACGACAGAACTGATCACATCTGAGTGGTACAGGACACAAGAACTGATCAAATCTCAGTGGCACGTGACAGAAGAATTGATCAAATCTGCACTACGGATTGTAACGAAGTCTGAGAGGCTGCTCACTGCTCAGGGCGCAAACGAAACAATTGAGAGATTCCCAGCGGACTTCGAACAGGAGGGGGTGGAAATGTGAGGCAACAAGGGCCTGAAGACGTCATTGATGGTCGGTAGGCCCTAAACTCGGGCCGTGCTAGTTTTGGCCCGTCCAAATGCTGGAAAGCCCCGGTAGGCTGACTCGGGGTAGGCTGAAGACCAGCCTGGGCAGTTGGCAGATGGGTACCCGGCCTCTGTTCAGAGGGTTCGGAAGAGAAGGGACCAGTCTCCCAGGTAATGAAGAAGAAGGCCCGGAGAGTGGACACTCGGGATGAACAGCAGGTAGGAGGCTCACGAGCACGTATGCAGTCGCACCAGCCTCAGCCAGGGTAAGTGTGGCATACTGCGTAGCCACACGGGCCCTGCAGGGCCCGTCCCGGACATCCAGCCTAAAAGCCTAAAACTTAGGGCTTACAGGCCCCGTTCATTTCAGCCTGGATGCTGAAAAACGAGGGCCTGCAGGCCCTACCCCGTTTCAGCCTATTTCTGGGTCTTTTCAGACCCAGAGTTTTCAGCCCTAAACGGAGGGCCATTTTCAGGCCCTCATTGTTTCGACCTGCCCCTAAGACTCAGGCACGAGGTAGTCTTCAGGATATCGGCCGCAGCACTCAGGAGGAGCGCTGCAGTAGTCTTCAGCGCTAGGCAGTAGTGGTAGCGCTAGCTGTAGTCTTCGGCGCTGGGCGCCATAGCTGTAGCTGTAGTCTTCAGCGCTGGGTGCTGGTACGTGGTAGATCGTAGAGTGGGAGAGAGACTGGCGGAGGCCAGTGTTACTTACCTGTGGCGCCATCGCTCCAGCTCCATCTTCGTGGTACCTGCATCAAGGTGTTCTCACCCTCTCGCCACCTGACTTCTCAGACTACGACAGAGAGAGACAGAGTTGTGACTTGAGACTTGACGACATTGGATCCAGACTTGACATTTGGGATTCAGACATTCCGACGAGGGACTATTTGGGCTTGTGCCGAAGACTTGGTGTTGACGACATTCCCATCTTCCCCCTCCTCTTCGTCTATCCCCTTCCTCTTCGTCTGTGTATGGTATGGGCTGGCGCTGTCTTCCTGTGTGAAGCGCCAGACCCATTCACACCTTGTAACGATGATGATGATGTATGTTCAGGGCTGCATTACAACATTGATTGTTCGGATCACTGGTATCTAAGTCTTCCGCTGTGTTATCCTGTACTTTGTATTGAAAGGTCGGTTCTTGTTCTGGTCTGCACGTTACAGTATGCAACAGTAAGCCAGGCATAGCTGGGCACCACCCAACCTGGGTGCAGAGAGAGAGAGAGAGAGAGAGAGAGAGAGAGAGAGAGAGAGAGAGAGAGAGAGAGAGAGAGTGAGAGAGAGAGAGGTGCTGCAAGCAAGGGGAGAGTCCGTGGAGTGAGAGGAGAGCTGCAGGAAGAGGAGAGTTGGTGAGGGCATACCTGGTGGTCTCCTCGTATCCATGGAGAGCTGCACTGAGCTGTACGGCAGTGGACATTGGCAAGCAGTAGAATAGGCTACAGAGACTAGTGAATAGGATGTGATTGCATTGGTCAGCCTGACTGACGAGAGACCAGCATTGCAAGCTACTATTATTATTGTTTGGATCGATGCTTCTTTATCAAACACCTTCAACATTGTCAATATCTCGTGCAACTTGTGATCAATCCTTTGTCTGTTCTGCTCTATTTTCTTTTAAAAGGGCGACGACATTGAGATATCATCATTGAGCTGACCGGCCCCAGGCAATTCAGGCAATTCAGAAATATCTGGTTTTATTAATCTAGAACCATCATCTGGATTCGAACTCTGGGCTGTATTTCAACAGTTCATGGGTGTACCCAATGCTTTATTTTCATTGCTGAGTCAATCCTGATGTGGCAGTGTTCAATTCGCTGGTAATTTGAGTTTCTTCATCACACGGTTTCCTTGCACACACACACACACACACACACACACACACACACACACACACACACACACACACATCTCCCTTGACAGCCATGTGTATGTATCATTGGCCAAACGTAAGGATCCAACCAGCATGGCATTCACGCAGCGATCATCATCGTCATAGCCGTTTCCCTCAGGTGTATTTTCTGTTCTCCCGCTGCATTCTCTTTACCATCGTCCTGGCCTCCTACTCAATGCCCTCCTTTCTTTTCCCCGCTGATTAAGGAAGATTCACCGTCCCAAGCTCCCTCACAGAAGCCTCCCTCGCACGAATTCAGAACGGAGGAGCTATCAATAAACATAATGGCAGCAGGTGACTTTTTCCTCTTTTTTGTTTGTGCACGCTGTTCTCCTGCCAAATAAATCCCTTCTAATGCCTAGCGGCTCTTCTTTAGGGGAGCCCCTTCCGCTCTGGGGAGGAAAAGCCCGGCTTCCCTCCCCCAGCAGGAGAGAAGAAACACGACCACCCATCAATACACAACCCGGCTTCCCTCCACCCACGCTTGTCCTGTCAGAGTCTGGAGAAGCACAGCCACTGCTCAACACAGACAGCTGCTTCTTTAAACACTTCAAGATGCTGAATTGACAAGTGACAACACACAGCCACTGCTCAACGGAGACAGCTTCTTTGAACACTTCAAGATGCTGAATTGACAGGTGGTGACATGGATTACTTCCCAGCCCGCCCTCACTATCAGCACTGCTCATGGAAACAGTCACCAACAACTACAAAGAAATCTCGCAGATCCTCAACTAATGATCAAAACTTCCTAGCACACTTCAGTGTTCCACTCGGCCAAGATCATCGTCCGCGAACCCAACAGTACTGTTGAAGAAACTGCCTGGCACAGCAGAAAGAAGGATACTCAGCCTGACAAACCTCATCCACACACTATATGCAGTCGCTGCTGTGGGAGAAAATTTTCCCCCAAGCTATCTATCACCCACAATCATGTCGCATTCCTGCATGGATCACCAGACCACCTCACAGGCTCCACTGCGTAAGCAATTCACTCTTTTTCTTTTTTTCTTTTTTTCACTCAATCTGAGGATTTAGGGCAATCTCAAACGACCGCAAGCATGCAAGCAAGAAAAGGAAGGTCACGTAGCCGTCTCCACTCCCCGCATCAACCTTCTCAAAATCACGTCGCCACTGCGGGCCGATGCTGGTGCTCAGAAAAGCTCTCGCTAATGCTGCGCAGGAATCAAATCGAAGATCATCGCTCAAGCTCAACACTGGAACACCCGGCTAGACTCACCACAGCTGCTGCCCTGATATATATAGCCCAAGCAAGCCCTTACCCAAAAGCAAACGACCTAAGAATCCAAAAAAAACTAACTCCAAACTCAAATCGACTCAATGCCCATCTAATGCCACGTGGCAGTCGCGACATCTCCAACATCTGCAAGCTGAAATTGGACGAGCAGCCAAGCTCCAACATCTGCAAGCTGAAATTGGACGAGCAGCCATCACGTGCCACGTGGCAGATCCCGACTACTCCAATGCCCCCGCTAACTCAAATGGGACGAACAACAATCGAGCGCCACGTGGCAGATTTCCTATCTTCGTCGCAGCTATATCTTATAGCAATCTCGTCTTGATTCTCGTTATTACTCCATAAAAGTCATGATGATACAGTATGTTTACGCACACTTCTCAATTACGCGGAAGACATTTTGCTACCTTTCAGAACACGTGTCCTACCCATCATCTATCGATCATCCCAGAGCTAATCAGTCGTACATCCCAGAGCTGACATAGTACGATCCCACTATTCGACGCAAAAGTAAAAAAAAACAACCCGCGAGAGCAATCAGTCCGTCTCCTTCTATCTCAACACGCTGCCCATCCGCTCACTCTATCAAAAGAGAGACCTCAACAGCGCGCTCACAACTACATCAACGGTCTAACCTGCATCTCCTGCACCAACCCTGATACACCCCTCCGTCCCTTCAGAGACACCTGGCCAACATCTCCCACCCCAGCCCCTGTCATCCCCTCCCGTCCACCTCCACCTCTATCGCAGGGAGCCGCCACGCCTACACCTCGTCATGGGGAAACCCCTTCCGCCTGTCCTGAACCACCTGTCCCGACCGGCATCTCTCCGTGCGCTTCCCCCCCCCCTCTCTTGCTCTGTACCCCCCCCTCCCATCACTTCATGCGTTCCACCCTCACCCTCCCATCCAGCAACAAGGCCTTCCGTTGCACACTCAGGTTGGTGCCAAGAGCAAGAAAGCAAGAAGAGGCGGCGGAGAAGAGCCTCGTCACGTCAACGCCCTCACCACTACCAACTTTCACGGCTTGTGCAAGAACTGAGCTTCGTCTTCTCCCCAGCCACAACAAATGTCTAACCCTCCGAAGCCTTCAGCCTTCAATTTGTCCCTCTTCATCAGAAATTATCACATCCTCCAAAAAGTCTTCCGGAGCTCTATGTGGTCCCAGAAGACATCTTGGCATCTCCTCGTCAGTGTTCGCTTCTTCAACGGGGGACTGCTCCTCGGCGCGCAGTATTCTCCCCCCCACGTTGAAAGCAGAGACTTCGGTCCGCTCCTGTGGAATAGTCTGTGGCGTGCAGCCACATCGTTTCTGCAGCCAGGTACGTCAAAGGAACAACTCACCCCCACGAGACTGGCCACACAACGAGATTTTATTTTTCCGAGTTTCCATTGCCTCGAAAGAACAGTTGAGCTTCGTCGTCGCCGGCCTCACCAAACCAGTCCTCTTCGTCCCCACTTATCATCTCGTACTTATCATCCAGAAGCTGTCGGAGCTCTGGGGGGAAGCCCCGCAGCCGCAGAGGTGGATATCCAAAAAGGCGGCGGTCATCCTCGCCCACCTCTCTCGCGGGAAACCAAACACCAAACACTCAATTACTCGGCATACGCCCGGCTTTCAACGCGAGGCCCGCTATTTCCTCCTCCTTTCCCTTCTTTCCCTTCGTTCCCTTCTTTCAAGAATGGCTTGGCTCCAACTACCAAAAATAACCAGAACGGGGAGGCTACCTTTGGCGTTATTCATACCAAAAGGACGAATAGACTCACTGTACTAAGAACTATGATGACGGTCCGAGAACGATTGTCTCCTGCTCCGTACTGTTTGCTGAGGATGATAGCAGCAACACTGATGTAAGTACGCGATAGATGCGGCGACACGGAGGAGGAGACATGGATCACAAGTGGAGGGAGGAGTCTCGAGCCCTCAGCAGGAACCAGCAACACGCCCCCCCAGCGCTCGACAATCATGTAGAGATCGACAAGGACACCCTTCGTTCTTCTACTCCCTCTTCTCCTCCGCCGCCGCCGCCCCTCCGTCCCACTGACTAACGACCGCCCGCTCGCCCTGCCTTCCTTTTTATCATTATTTACAAAACAAAAAAGAAAGAAAGAGCTCCACGAGCTTCTTCCAGATCGTTCTTCAACTCCAGACCCACGCACCTGCCACATGCCACGAGATGGCCCTTCCCCCCTTCTCTCCTCCCTCCTCCTCTCTCTTACTTCTTCTCCTTGTCTCCTACCTCCATTCCAACGTGCCTAGCACGTCCAGCGGCGCAACCCTTACCAACCCCCCCTCCAGGTTTTCCCCCCTCCCCCGTTCTGCCCTCCCAGCATATCACCCACGTGACAAGGCGAAATGCCGCCCCTCCGTCTCTTGGGTTTCTTCTTCTGCAGAGTCTTCTTCCTTTTCGTTCTTCTTCATCGCTGACGATGCCATGCCACATGAAAAGCACGTCGGGACCGGAGTACGGAGGACGGGAAGAAGAAGCTCCCCGCTCCCGGCATGCCTCCCGTGATGCATAACCCCCTTCCTCTACATGCCTGCCATCAGGGACAACGCATCCCGTTCTTGTATCTGCGTTATACCCCCCCCCCCCTCCGCCACTCCCCCTCAGCCTCCTGTGAATCCTGTCTGACGAAGAAACATCCACCTGACCATGTCGAACATAGGCGTTGCCTGGACATTGCCCCACCTGCTTCTGTCCTTTGCCCTGTACCCCTACACAGCCGATTTTCAGCATCATCTGCCATGTCATGCAGGCGCTGGAGGTGGCAAAGGTGCAGTGACAGAACGGCGGAGAAAGAGAAACAGGACACTGGAGGAGAACGAGAAAACAGAACACCGGTAGAGAGTGGGCGGCGATGAGGGAAGAAACAGGAACAGAAGATTGGGGAAACTGGAAGAGGAAGGCGGGACGGAAGACATGGAGGAAGCAGGTAGGAAGAGGAAGGATGTTGATTACCTCGACAGAACAGAAGAACACCTTCCTATGCTTCATTCCATTGACCACCTTGAAAAACGTTCCCCCTCTCTCTCTCTCTCTCTCTCTCTCTCTCTCTCTCTCTCTCTCTCTCTCTCTCTCTCTCTCTCTCTCTCTCTCTCTCTCTCTCTCTCTCNTCTCTCTCTCTCTCTCTCTCTCTCTCTCTCTCTCTCTCTCTCTCTCTCTCTCTCTCTCTCTGTGTGTGTGTGTGTGTGTGTGCGTGTGCGTGTGTACGTGGAAAGCTATATCGGCTGGGAGGGTAGAAGGGCAAGAGGAGGCGCGAGTGGTTCAGCAAGTAGCACAGATTGGAATCAATTCGAGGACGAAGGCGATACGGCAACATGCTAGCTTGACGAAATCTCGTTCTAACAAAGAGCTCAAGAGAGCGGACGCGCTATATATACGCACTCAACGGGCTCCTCGACGTCATGGTCACAGTGCCAAGCTCGAGTGCACCGCTCGCTCATCACATTCCATTTTTTAACGGAGGGAGGGGAAAAAAGCCTTCAAACTACCCTTCCCAGGCATTCAAGCAAGCTCGAAATTCAGATGCCACACGGATCGATTTGGAAAGGCCACCGTAGTAGGCGGCACTGCCAAACTCTTTGGGGCCGTTTCACCTACCTACCACTGAATGCCGCGTGGCACCTGCATGCCCACTGATGCTGCTCCCTTGGACAACTTCACTCAGGACAGTGCAGAAACACTGCGTCAAGCGCACACTCCTGCATAGTACTGTGCGATGCGCCTGCCTGGTCCCCTCTTCGCTTTCCTTGTGCTACCCTGCGCTCCTTTACAGAGGCAAAGCAAGGCAAATCAGTGCGATGATAACAACCATGCTCTCTCCATTGTGGAGGCTAATGAATGAATTCCTGGCAAAGAGAGAATTACGCAATCCAAACCTCCCTCCTGCACCCATCTTTTCCTTATATATTTCCTTCCCCAGTTCAAGACAGCCATATCCACACCGCATCTTTGCCTGGTTGGTTATTCCAATGCCTCAGAGATTGATTCATACAACATCCTGTAAGTCAAGGATATCGGCCAGAACTCCATTGGCTGTAGTGTAGTTGCCAGCACCGGCCCCCTGGATGATGAGCGGCGATCCGGAATAGCATCGGCTAGTTATTTCCACAAGGTTGTCACTGCCTCGAAGGCGGCCCAGAGGGCTATGTTGCGGGACAGACACCAGTCCCACGCAGCATGTGCCATTCTCAACCACGGCTGCGTATCGCAAAATGCAACCTTGTTCCTTGGCTTCCTGACACCTGTGCCGATACGACTCGTCGAGCTCGGTCAGGGACGCCATGAAATCGCCCGAGCTCATGAATGCTGGGGACAGTGTGTCGGGGTACAGACTCTCCACCTTCACGTCCTCCATGTTCAGCCTCCACCCCAGCTGCCTCGCCATGATCAGAGCCTTGCGAGCAACGTCCATACCAGCGAGATCATCCCGCGGATCAGGCTCGGTATAGCCGAGCCGCTTAGCGTCCGTGACCACATCGCTGAAAGGCCTCCCATCCTGCAAGCCCGACATCACATACCCGAGCGTCCCGCTCAGCGCACCGGCTATCCGACGTACCTCATCACCCGCTGATACCATCCGCCGCAGCATCGTGTTCACTGGCAGCCCGGCGCCAACCGTTGCTTCGTAGCGGAACCGCCTCGCCGTCGACATGAGTCCATCGTACACCTCCAAGCTGGATGTCATCGGCTTCTTGTTGGCCAACACAACACAGCAGCCATCGTGCTGCACAGCACTGGCAAGCACAGGCGCAAGCGACTCGCTGGCAGAGCAATCCACAACGACCAACCCGTGCTTCGCATTGAGAACCGTATCCTCCGACCGAAGAATGCTCTTGATCAGATTGCGAAGGTCGTCCGCTGGTGGTGGGGACAGATCCGCCACCAGAATTCCCTCCAAAAGCTTCTCCTTGCATATCTCTGTCATCGACTTCCCGGCTGCCTTGGCTTCCAGAATCGCCTTTAGCACGTCGTCGTCGATATCATTATGACCGGCTGAGATATGTGCTTGCAGAACTGACCTGCTGTCGCAGACTCCAGCCACTGCGATTCGGACACCATCAGCAGCATGGCGTTCACGGTTGCTCACGATCTGCTCCAGTAGTGACCCCCCCACTCCTCCACAGCCAATCAGCAAAACCCGTATGATTTTCATTGTCTATGCAATGGTGCGGAGTCCGGAAGAGGAAGGGAGGGGGGGACACACCACCGGCTGTTGCACTCAGGAAACGCGGCCAGCTTGCTTGCGGTGCATGCAAGAACTGCAAGCAAGCAAGCAAACCTCTCCTCCCCTCTCCGGCTGTTATACCAATACGTTGTCTACCTGTTTGCTGCAACAACCCCCTGCAGGCCTGATAAATGGGTAGTTATGCAACCGACCTCTCTTCTGGCGCAAGAGCTGAGCCTCTAAGACCTTCCTGACTCAGCGCTGGACGTGATCGTCGTCAGATGCATCCGCGGCTGGCCATAATTGCGGCCAGATACCGTCCGGGAAGTGCTAGGGTGAGTACGCGCTGCTTGCTCTAGATCCTCGGAGACGCAGCTAAGCTTGAGACCTTCGGCATCCCTCAGCTGTTTTCCGAGTGCAACTGTATGGCACCCGCCTGAGCTTGAGCCTTCACTCCCAAGGACATTTTTCCATCTGCTCCTGCGCTGCCGCTTTCCTCCTTGCGACTGCTCCCCGTCCTCAGCTCCTCGTGTGCTGCTGCTGCTCCGCGTCAACTCAGTCGCCGTCTGCTCCGCCTCTTGCTCGTCTGAACCAAATCTAGGGCCTCGCTGCACTACTCTCGACATGCACAAGAGACAAAAATCATGGCGGTGCATCTTTCCATATTCTAGCGGAAGATTCACTCTCTTTTTCCACATTTCGAGAGTAGTGCCGCGAGGCCCCTATTGGATCTCCTGCTCGTCCACTGCTGTCCTCACACAACAATCGGACGCGTGGCCAAGGGAAGTTCGCCATTGGAAAAAAGGAACTCCGGCCGGCGTCTCTCTCTGACAGGAAATGACCTTTTTCCGGCAGGGAGGTTCCTGCTGCTGGGGTTGGTAGGAGTATCCCTCATCAGCAGGACCCCGTTGAGTGGTGATGGCTTCCTTCTATTGGTGGGGAGCAGCACCTGCTGGAAAGCAGCACCTGCTGGAAAGCGGGTCCAGCATCCCTTTCATATTTTGTTGCGGGGGGTGAATCGGCTGGGGGGTTGTTACTTACTGAGGTGATAACAGCATCCTCAGTAAGTGGTGCCCTGGTCACGCATCCTCTTACAGAGAAATTGATCCAAGTCATCCATTCAGTTCCAATGGTCGGTGAAAGGGTGATCAAATTGCTGGTGGGGCATTTTAGGGGTCCAGGGAACCCCGGTAGGTGGCCATGGTCCTGACTTTTTTTCAAACGGCGTGCGGGCCCCAGGTCCTTGAAATTCGAATCCGAAACGGCGTGTACCCAGGCCTACAGCCTCTTGTGCAGCCCACCAACTTCGGCCCAGTCGGCCTTCTCACTGTGCTAGATCATTTTGTATATATGTGAACGCATTTCAATGCCAGATTCAGAAACGGATATGCTCTCTCTCTCTCTCTCTCTCTCTCTCTCTCTCTCTCTCTCTCTCTCTCTCTCTCTCTCTCTCTCTCTCTCTCTCTCTCT